CTTACTAAAATCTTTTTATTCCTGACTAACATGGGGGAGATTTAAATGACATGGGTTCTACAGAGGAAAGCTAGTCTGGGGTTTCCTGTCCACGTGAAAACGGCTTTATACTGCGTCTGTGTCGTTCTGAGGTGAGCGTGGGCGTCAGAGCGGGTGCGGTGGCTGCACTGAGAATGCGTTTGCACAAGGTCACGGTACCCTCTCCCTTTGCCCAGCTCCAAGTTGCCACCATCCATTCATTCATTTATTCATAAGATAAAGTTTTGAAGGGCAGTGTCTACTCGATGGCAGGGCACTGCTTATAGTATTGATATAACCTTCACAAAAAGGATCCTTGTCCTCAAAACGCAAAGCCTTCACTGCTGGGGTTACGACTGGGTCTGAGGACGATCGCATGTGCCCGAGACAAGGCTTCCTGCCTGAGTGCAGGCCCGTGACAGGAGCCCCCTGGGCCTGCGGGCGGGGATGCCACCTGGGCCTGGGCCTTTCACCTGTGTGTTCACTTGTCTCACTGCTCCAACGCCAAGGAGACTTCCGACCACCGCAGCTAGCGCTGTCTTTGTGGCATTGGTCGCCACTCACCCTCTCAGCAGCCCCCACACATCTCGGTGCCGAAATCCAACAGGACAAGGAAGGCGCATCCAGCGAGGTGTCACGGTGGTGGGACGTAGGGCGAGGCGTCGGAGCTGAGGGACAGAACGGGTTCCAGAGGCGTGTGCTGCTGAGGCCTCCCGCCGGTCAGAGCAGAAGCAGGGGTCGCTCTCAGCTGAGACGCCTTTCCCCAGGGGCCGGGACAGAAGGAAAGCAATGGTAGTGGGACACCGAAGAGAAAAGCAGTTTGCTAACACAAGAAACAAAGTGCCCTGTGCAACGGACAGGGTTTGCACCAATGTGCCACCGTGATGCCGGCACTCTGCTCTGCACGCAGGCTTCTCACTTTGAACATCTGGGACTTTAAATTGCAGGCTATCAAGTGACTCGACTTGTAAGGCCTGAGTCAAAAAGAAGTTGCCTTTAAACCATAGTGAAAGGTTGGCAAACAGAATATAAATACACAGAGAGCAGGAAGAGAAAGGCGAAGCCACGCGAAGCCCCCTGGGGGTACCCGGGCCACACTGCAGCCCTTGGCCGGACTCCCACTGACGGGCCGGGCCCCCCTGGAGCTGGGGCCTAATGGACAGTTAACGCGCCTTGGGAACGCCACGCCTTCTCGAGCCTCCACGAGACACGCACGGAAATGCTCGTGGCCCGATCAGGCCGTGGAGCGATTGTGCCCGTTGCTCCCACGCGCGCTCCACGACGCGTTGGCCAACACCCGCTGTGATTACAGCCACGTGCCTTCAGGCGGCCGCCAGCCATGCCGGGACGGGCCGCTGGCTCCCTCGCGTGCCTCTCAAGCCCCCAAAGGCGCCCCCAAAGGCGTGTGTGAAACAGGGCCGCTGATTGCCCTCCTGCTGGAACCCCAGTGATGCGGCCCCCGGGCTCCTCCTTCCCGCGTGCGGTCCCCGCCCCCCGTGTCTCCAGAACGTTCCAGAAGTGACACTGGCTCCCACTGAGCCTGGGCCGCGGCCCTGACTCCTCGCCGCGCGTGAGCCCAGCGGAGCCGCCTGACCTGTGCGCCCCCCTTCTCCCCGGGGGTCTTATCCTAGCCATGACTGGCAGAGCGGCTTTTGTTGTGTTTTCCTTAGAAAAGTTGTTGTATCAGTCAGTCACAGCCCAGGTAGAGACTGTTCTCCCTGAAGGCATAAACTTTGAACATAGCAGCTTCTTCTATTCATGCTTTTCCTTTTAAAAAGAGTTAGTGAGAGCCTTTTGTGTTCCTTGGACAACCGGAAACTTGCTCATGATTTAAAAAAAAAAATCATTGCAAGAAAAGGAGACAGAAAGTGTCACCGTGGTGCTGGCACCCTGCGAGCACAAGCTTTACAGCTTACATTGTAAATTAAATTACCTGTGTTCATTCAAAATCATCATGTTTGCAGAAGAATTAGGAGTAATGGAAATTGAAAAATAAAAATGTATATTAAAAGCTATAAATGTTTCTTCCATAAGCTGTATATTCATGAGAAGCGGTTTTTAAAAAGAGAGGTTACAAGGTACTTGCAAATATTTCTTTGGCATTTTCTTGGCAAATTTCTATTTATTTTAGAATGATGCATTTACAACTGGCCTTTAGTTAAAAAAGAAGTTGATAAGAAAGAAATAGCAAACAGCAATTTTAGAAATTGTTAAAAAATAATTTTTCTAAAGTCATCCAATATTTTTATTAGTAGATATATTTACCCCTGACTTTCATGTAAATCATGAATTTCCCTAAGCCAAAAAATGAGTTTCCTTTTTTAACAAATGTGCATGGTTTTCTATTCTATTACTTCTATTGAATAATATTGATATTGACTGTATGTTTTATTTACATTTTAAGTGTGATTATAAAATATTTCCAGTTTTTCATTTTTACATTTTCAAAACCATCCATATAATACACTTTTTGAACTTTAATGGAACTTTCAAGGAAGCAATTGAATAAAATTGTGTGAATCTCCAAATATGTATTAGTTCAACAAATTCAACTCAATTTCATAAAGATCCTTGAGGACTGGACCTGTGTCTTAATAGATAAAGGGAAATTATATTGCACTTCATGAGGTGTCAAAATAAAGGAATAGAATTCAACTAGGAACACTTGGGCAGATGGTTTGCATAACGGGCATTAGTACAAGCTCCCTGCAGAGATACTGCATCTGACTTAAGTGCGAGGGACACAGGTTACGTGATTTCGTCATCTGCACACTTGGAGAAAGGCCTCTCCCCACCTTCCCTAGCATCATGTTTCCTCCGCACAGCACCCGACCTCACGGATTTCATGCCCGCAGCACAGCAGAGTAGAAAGTGATCAAAGTGAATGCTTTCTCAAGTAAGGTTTTCAGTTGTTGAAAAATACACTATAAAAAGGAAATTTTAGGAAAACCATTCAAGATACTTTCAGGATTATTTTATTTTTATTGTTTAGTGTGGGCTCTGTGAATTTCTCCAACTTTCCCCAGGAGTGGGAAAGGAAGCACTTCTGGGTTGGTTCCATCATTTACACGCATGTACATCCAGTGCGTCCCTCTGTCTCCAAGATTCAGTTTATTTCTGAGTAAACAATGAGAAAAGGACAGTAACATGTTTTGTTTTGTCTTCTGCCAGGAATTTGAACTCAGGGTCTCAGATTTTTTTTTTTAATTAGTGATTCACAGATATTTTAAAGTATTTTATGTTAGACTATCTTCCATTAATAATTACATATAACATTTTGCATTGTCAAATGATGTCCCTGTATTATTCATTTTACTCCAAATAATAATGTTATGTTTCTTTACCTACAAACAGTGTTTATAGGCTAATACTGGAGAGAAAAGAATGATCAGCGGTTTTCACTTGTAATCAGTCAACGCCGACTCTAATTACCACCTGTGCTGGGTTGTAAGCCCTGCCCCATGGTTGAATGCCATGCTGTTGTAATCAAAATCACTGTTTTGTCATTTAGTTCCAGGCACTGAAATTACTCTGATAAAGTAGCATTCTTCATTGAGCTGTAAAGAGAAATATGTAAATAGGATAAAGACCTTGAGTATTTTTTTTAATGTTTCTTTTCATTTTTGTGTAGGTAGAACACGAATGATGAAATGGGGTAAATAAATAAAAAAGAATTATTAGTATTAGATAATGGAAAATCCTCAAACAGGTTTTTTATTTATTTTATTTTGTTTCTCAGTAGTCGGTGTTTGACATGGTGCTGTTTTAGTAATAATTATTTCTAAGACATCACTGAGATTTAACTGCAGTTCATTTATCCATTTTGAATTTTCACATGTATCACTGGAAATTCTGACTTGACCTCGAAATGCATCCTTGCCTTCCAAAGATTCCTAAAAGCTAGTAAGTAGTTCCTGCACCCTTCTTTGAGGAGTTGCAAAGTGTAAATTTTTTCTTTAACATACATTTAGCCTGTGCACCTGAAAAAAATAACTGACAAGTGACCTATGGTAGTGTTTGTGTTACAGAGTGACTGGTGGATGCTCCTTTTAACTGACCAGATTCTTTTCGCTGCCCTCTATCTAGCGTTTGTCTACAACCTGCTGCCCTCAGAACCGTGTGCAGTATGACAACACTAATAACACTGGGGGTGTTACAATGATTCGCCCCAAAGACCACACCATCAGTTACGGCTGTGTTTCAAGGGACAAGCCTCCACCTGCAGCACAAGGGGGTCCCTGAGGCCGCCCAGGAATTCAGGCAGAGCTCTGGGACCAGAGGCGCACACAGCACGGGGGCGCTGTGGGTGGGACAAAGGTTGGCAGCTCTGTTCCCCAGCCTGTGAGGGGCCTGGGGCCCCACTCTCATTAGCACATCTCACGCCACTGAGTCAGATGGTGGACACTTAAGGTGCCACAGCAGAAATTGCCCAGGGAATCACAGCCTGGAACGAAGAAACCCTTCGAGAACACCTTTTCGCTTGTGTGTCTTTGGATGAAGAGGTTCGAAGAACTTGACGTGAAGTAAATAGTGTAATTTATGTCTTTATGAGTTGATATGAGTTAGTAGAGAACAAAAAGCAGGTAATCTTCATCTTTTATCACCAAGTAGGAGAATGACACATGGAGACCTTTAACTTTGCCCATGCTGGGAGTAGAAGGGAATGTTTCCATACTAATTTACCCCTGTTCCTATGAAACTGGTTACAGCAAACACACATGTACACGGCCACTGAGTCCTCCCTCCCGGCATTGATGATGGGCGATATAGTCTTGGTCTCAGGGGTGTGTATTAGCTCACTGACACAGCCACAGCTTTGCCACTGCTCGTGGCTGCCTCCTGCTGAGCTCAGAATCCACGTTTGACTGGCACACATCTACCCCCGAAAACCCTGTCTTGAACTTTTATTTTTTTATCCAATGGGATCTTTTGGCGTCATAGCTGCAAAGTGGAATTTTATTCTCCGCTTGCACAGGCAACAGCCCAGCTGTAGGCTGAAAGGATGAAGGATTATGCAGACCCTGCAGGAGCACCTCACCCATCACTAGGTGAGGAGGGAGGCTGATGGCTGAATTAGCGTCTGTTGGAATGTATGGGTGTGTGACATCCCCCTGACTGGATGACATCACAACAGCTCCCGGTCCTTGAACGTCTGGAGGGTGATTAGCGGAAGGAATTGGCTGTGTCTGCCAGTCACCTCGGGCACAGCTGCCTTCATAGTCCTGGTGTGAGAGGAGGGGCTGGCGGCCAGGCGAGCAGCAGCAGCTGGTCCCCGTGATTAAAGACTTCTCGCAGCCTTTTTGCTGTGCTCGGTCTGCTCCCTGGTGTAATTCTCGTGTCCGAGAGGGAAGCTGCATTTTAACGGTGTGCTGAACAGAGGTTTGAATCATTCCAGCTGGCTGCTTGTTTTGAAAAGGACAGCGTGTGTATAAATAAAAAGCGACTGCTGGAAGAGTTCAGACGCCAGGGCTGGGCTGCAGCGGCTCCGGGGTGCCGGGGGCAGCCCTGGGAACTGGCCACTCCTGCTAAGTAACCTGGAGCCCCGCAGCCCGCACCCTGGACGGCCGTGCTCTGACGGGGACCAGCTCAACGGAGGAGAGACAACAACCAGAGTGCTTCTCCAGGTGAGTTACTGCCGAGTGTGCTGGAGCCGAGGCGTGCACAGTACAGGGGTATACGTTGCTTCTAGATAAACGAGTGGAACACAGTCAAGTTTTATTTAGGAAGGATTTATGTAGCAGCAGATAATTGCTTCAAACCCGATTCCGCCTGCCTTTCCAGCGTGGGGGTGCTTACGTGTGCTTAGGTTTTGCAGAAGTTAGATTTGCACTGTAGATGGAAGGCACAGCCCTGCCTATAAAACAAGACAGCTAGAACTTGACATATTTTCAACTGTTGCCAGAACGTTTGCATAATAAGCACCTCACTTGCTAACAATTTTAGCCTTTTCGTACTGAAGATGCCAATTTTTGAAACTCAGCCTCCAAACTGAGTAGGGTTATGAATGGTTCCCTGAGAAGGGTTACTGACAGCGCAGTGTGTACGTTACTGAAGATGGAAACTCCTCTCCTTGGGACCTGAGGTTCGGAGGCTGGCTCCGCTCTGATGGTCTGCTTCCGGGAAACAGCTGCCACCGACGTTGGACATTAGATGATACAGCCCTAAATTGCTTTTAAAGACAGAGGCTTTCCCTCTAGGTCCTGTTAGGAAAGAAAAAGCAATTCTTAGAGCAATACATGTAATATAGCACAAGCATGAATTCCATGAGGACAGAAACAGCTTTGTGCTACACCTGTAAAACCTCCCAATCCCCCATGCACAAAATAAATGGGAAATACGAAATGCCATGTAAATGTGGCTTGATTCATCCTTTCCAATGTCTCTGTTAGAGATAAGTAAATAAAAGGGACCCTTGGCCTGTTTTTTCCTTGTAATCTGTCCTGATGAATAAGACTGCATTGTTCAGAGCTACAATTATAGCATTTTCCAGTGACAACCTATTTTGTTTATTATGTCAGCTTACGCAATGAGCTCTGAAAAAGTTTCAGTAGCATATACTTGATTACATCTTCTTCAAACTCGCCTTTTCTTGCTTTCTTGGTATCTCCTATCAGAATATCTTTCATCAACTCAAGGCTATAGGTATCTTAAAGTCAATGGCATGCAAAGATATTGAAGTATTTTCCTAATGATTTTAGTTTGTCATTCTCACCAACTTCATGGTTCAAATCCTGGGAGTTTCTTGCCACAAAAGGAAATTGATGAAGACAAAAGTTACTGTAATTGGTTGAATTCCTCCAAAACTAGGAGGCAGTTATTTTTCTCCACAAAGATTTAAAAGGAGATGTTTTAATATCAAAAGCATCCATTTTAATGTCTTCTGTTAGAAAGATGCCAGTTAGCCATATCCAGATGCCAAGGAGGTGCTCTGCTGGCCACGGTTTTTTCGTGAAGCAAATGGAGGCAGAGAATAGAAAGTCCACCAACTACAACAGTCTAAGCCTGCACCTGATTCATAAGAAATCAGTCAGTAATAAGCAAAGGGGGTTGGGTCATCCATTCACCTCGATGCAAAAACGGGAACTTAGCACCATTTCACACCCGCCACGACTGTTGACATTTCTCTAATAGGAACCCTCCGAGTATTTACCTTCTGATGGCTAATACCACACAGCTCTCACATTTTAAAAGCCTTGTGATAAGCTAATGGGGGGATTTGGGGAAATTGAACAGTAAGCAGAACAGTTTTTTTTTTTTAACTCTGTCTTAGTAGCAATTGGTCAGCATGAGACTGATACTTAGAAAAATCCCTTGAAAAGATTATAATGTGTATGGTTTCTTAACTATAAAATGAAAATTCCCCCCTGGATGGAAAATACAGATGCAAATTTAGAAACTCAGGCATCATTCTTAAGTAAAAAAGGGAAAAAAGTCATAAGGATTTTAATATTTGACCTCTTTTCCATAAACTTGCAAATGTATATAAATTGCATTTGATTTTCTGCCAGTTGAAGTTATTATCTAAGAAATGTATCAATTTAAATGATTGTCCTTAAATACCAAAAGAAAGTAAATGGAGGCTATTTTATATATAAATATATAAAATCATAATTTGTAAGTTCTATATTTGAGAACCAAAATAGATAGAAAAACGTGTGTGTGTGTGTATTTACCTCAAAAAGGACAATCTTTTCTAGTTCACCTGAATATTAAAACAACAATACCTAGTCTTTCTCACCCCCAATTAGATTTAAAATAAACTTGTCCCTGGATTCAAATCTCAGTGCCAGCCTTGCTTCTGGAATGTTTCTAACCAGTGAAATAGCGTCCCCAGCAGGACTAATGATCCCCTAGTCCCCTTGCAGATTCTGTGTGAGCAGGAAAGATACCACGGAGAATGAGACCCAAAGATGAAGCCCTGAGCTCCTAGAGCAGCAGCTACTCAGAGGAGGACAGAGAGGTGTTTGGCGTGCTCTGTGCAAACTAGAAGGTTCCAGCCGGGCTGCCTCCCTGGACATGGGGAGCGGCTGGCGAAAAACTCAGAACAGCTAGAGCAGCAGGAGTGCCTGGAAGCCAAGGCAGCGTCTGGGCCCCACCCGGCGAGTTCTTTCTGGGTTGAAGTTTGTGGATGAGCATTATGTTTAAAGCTTAACCTGAAGCCTGACTTCTTTCTCTTGGACGAACCGTGGGCTATTTAAAGAACAAACATATGTTCGAGTACATTAAGATACTAAAGTAACGGAGTTTTCTTCTTTGTTAAAAGTATCTCTAATGGAAACTGTAAATCCGCAGCAGAGGCATCTGTAAAATGTTGTTAGTCAAGAGCAGAAAGAGACCTGAGGATGAGCTGTGCGTCAGAACACGTCTCGGGGATGGTAGAGGGATGACACGGGCCACATAGGTGCCATCTGTGCACAGGAAGAAGTGGGCGGCTCTCTGAGAGTCGCCGGCCTGGTCCGACCTACAGACATAGATGTGCTAGGACTGCCGTCGTGGACACCTGTGTGCTGGACAGCAGAAGGGAACGTTATTTCTCGTCACCGTTCCTCGGTAACTAGCGGAAAGGGGACCATGTGATTTAGTTCAGGTGTGTGAAGTGAGAGGAGGGGGCAGGTGTGAGACAGGGCCGCTGCCTCAGCTCTCATGGTGTACTGTTTCGCCAGCCTCGGCTTTGACACTTCAGGACACTGAGTGAAGCAATTCCAGAGAGTGCGAACTGCACCCTTTTACAAATATTTTCAGCAAGCCTCGGAAGTCAGCGGTGTCCGCTGCAGTGCAGAACTTTCCTGAATCCATCTGCCTCCAGGCTTCCTTTAGCTCAGTTTTCTAAGGAATGTGATCACATTCTGGAGTTGACAAATCTCAGATCTCTTTTAGAGCAATATTGAATGGAGAACAGACTTTACCCAAACCCACAACAGACTGATAAAGAAATCTAAACATCAATGGCTTTGGGCAATAGGTTTTTAAAATGTGAATATTCTTCATTCCTACTGGTGAAAATGTTTGCCTGTGTAACTTGATGTATGCATTTCCTTTGCTCTCTTATAATACGAGAAGAAAATGAAGGCTTAGAAAAGAACATGTTTGAATGCTTGAGAACTTAATTTGATGAGGTAGTGAGGTGATTTGAGAAAGCAAGCAGTAACTCTACTGAGCTGTAGAGCTGAGAGTTCTGCACCAAACTCAGTGTTTACACTTCTTAGAAAGTATCGTTTTAAATATTTCAAGATCTATAGAGAAGGCAACTTTTAGCAAGCTAACACACACACACACACACACACACACACACACACACATCCTTCCCCCACCACAACAAACAAAAAAATGTCCCCTGTTTGGACATTCCGAGATCAGATGAACTTGCATGGTGCTTTATTTAAAATATTTAACCTCCTCATTAAAAGTCTTGAATGCAGTTTATCTTGCACGGTAACCTTGTGGAAGTTGAAGGCCAGCTGGCCAGGTTCAATGCGTTCAAGCAAAAGTAAATGTAGAAACACTTCCGTAATCTCCCCTCACTCACTCCTTTCTTTCTTCTTCTCCCCCCCCATTTCCTCCTTCCTTCTTTCTCTCCTTCCCCCCTCCTTTCTGCTTTTCTTCTTTCCTATTAATTTCCCCGCTCCCTTCCTCCTTCCCTCCTTGCCTTCTTTTGTTTTTTTCCTTCATTTGTGGCACCTCAGCTGAAAAGCTCTCCTGCGAAGGCCAGGAGGAAACCACTCACGTTTAGTATGGCAGTGATACTTATCTAACGGCCAGGTCTGAACACGGAAGGGGGTGGGGAAATGCGCAGAGCAAGTGGGTGCAGCACCCTCGACAGTAGAAGGAAGGTAAGGCAGGGTGGTATCCATGTCGGAGAAGCAGTGATGGCAGCCTTGCAGCGGTGGCGCTGCGCCCCACTGCGAGTTCCCACAGAACTTCCTCTGCTCTGTTTCCGTGTACTTCCCTTTCATTGCCAGTGGAATCTTTTTCATGCAGCAAGTGCAACTTAGTGGCAAAAATAAAATAATAATAAATGTAAATAATCCTGATACTGGTATTTCAAACCCCCATAAATCATTTTTATATTTAGTACTTCAAGCATAAAAGCATCCGTAGGAGCCCAAAGGCCGACTGCCACGCTAATGGGGAAGAAGCAAGAGGGGAACGTTCTGCACATTAAGAAGCTTTGGCCTGACTCCATTCCCGAATCAGAGATTCAATTGTAGACTGCTGAGCCACAGAGCTTGTCATATTTCATCAGACATCTCAGAAGCGTTCTTCTTGATGTACTGAATAGTCTTCCACGCCTACATAAAAATCATTTAAACCTCAGAAATAAATATAGCGACACTAAAGATTAATACAAGGAAAGGAAACAGATGCAGGGATGCATATGTTCCTGTGAACACATATAAAAGTCCTAATTCTGTTCATTACTCTAAAGTGCAAATGAATAATTAGAATTTAAATTCCATTTGTTTCCCAACCAATCTTTCACTAATAGTTACATCAATGCAATTGAGATTCCACATGCTCTATGTAAAATAAGCAAGGCAATCATTGAAAAGTTACACTTATTCATTTAAAGTATTATGGCTCCCAACATCTCAGTTTATGAAACCACTTTCCTTCGAATGGGGCA